TTTAGGTAGGGATGATTTTAAGAAAATTTTAATTGACACACAGCTTCTAATATTTGGCTTTTAATTTGGTTTTATGGGGTTTTTTTGTTCTTTATGTATTTTGTTTGTCTGTTTTAATATGCTGTGCACCGCCCTGAGTCCTACGGGAGAAGGGCGGTATATAAATTAAATTATTAAATTAAATTAAATTAAATTAAATTAAATTAAATTAAATTAAATTAAATTAATTAAATTAAATTAAATTAAATTAAATTAAATTAAATTAAATTAAATTAAATTAAATTAAATTAAATTAAATAATTAAATTAAATTAAATTAAATATTTGCAGACGACACCAAGCTGGCAGGAATAGCCAACACTCCAGAAGACAGGCTTAGGATACAGGAGGATCTGGACAGACTTAAACATTGGGCGCTATCTAACAAAATGAAATTCAATGGTGAAAAAAGTAAGGTTCTACATTTAGGCAAGAAAAACCAATGTACATGTATAGTATAGGGGGTACCTTGTTCAATAGTAGTAACTGTGAGAGGGATCTCGGAGTCCTAGTGGACAATCATTTAAATATGAGCTAGCAGTGTGCCAAAAAAAGCCAACACAGTGCTAGGCTGCATTAACAGAGGGATAGAATCAAGATCACGCGAAGTATTAATACCACTCTACAATGCCTTGGTAAGGTCACAATTGGAATACTGCATCCAGTTTTAGTCACCACGATGTACAAAATATGTTGAGACTCTAGAAAGAGTACAGAGAAGAGCAAGATTAGGGGACTGGAGGTTAAAACATATAAGGAACGGCTGCTGGAATTGGGTATGTCTAGTTTAATGAAGAGAAGGATGAGGGGGGATATGATAGCAGTGTTCCAATATCTCAGGGGCTGCCACAAAGAAGAGGGAGTCAAGCTATTTTCCAAAGCACCTGAAGGCAGAACAAGAAGCAACGGATGGAAACTAATCAAGGAGAGAAGCAATCTAGAACTAAGGATAAACTTCCTGACAGTTAGAACAATTAACCAGTGGAACAACCTGCCTCCAGAAGTGGTGAATGCTCCAACACTGGAAGTTTTTAAGAAGAAACTGGACAGCCATTTGTCCAAAATGGTATAGGGTTACCTGCCTGAGCAGAGGGTTGGACTTGATGACCTCCAAGGTCCCTTCCAACTTTATTATTATTATTATTATTATTATTATTATTATTAAATCAAAGCTTTGCAATTTCTGTCTCTCCTGTCTGAGGGGCCATCAGTTTCAAATTGAGAAATGTTTAACTTGCTCTCCCACTGAAAGAACAGCAAAGTGATTGAAGGGGACTTAATTCCTCCCAGATTTTTGAAAATAAATCACATTTAGTGGACCTCTATACTAGTTCTCCTATTTGCAAGCATCAACAATCCCCTATTGCTACCTTATAACTTGAGCCATTCCACCTAATCTCTACAAGAAAAATCTGGCAAATGATCACCCAACTATCCCATGTAAAATTGGCAAGCGCTATATAAAATATTTTTTGTAACAAGCTTGCCGAGTGCATAATCCCAGCGTGCACCTTTCACAGAATGAGCAAGTTTTAGATTAGCTTGCTTGATTGTTGATCAGTGTAAAAATCTCAACACCATTTGGCTGAGAAATATTTAAGTCCTTAAGAAGTTATCTTTATTAGGTTTTTTTATCTTTAATAAAATGATTAAAAAACTATATTATTATTTGTTAGATCAGGCAATGTATGAGGAACAGGTAAAAGAGACCATGTTAAAGTGGAGTAGGGATTTTGATCTGAACTTTGATCTGCACATCTGGCAAGAACTATGGGTAAGAAACAGGAAGCTCACTTTGGCCACCTCTTACAAAGAAAATCTCTACAAAATGTTCTATAGATGGCATCTCCCACCCATAACATTAGCTAAAATGGGTTCAAATGCTTCTTCCAAATGTTGGAAATGTAAATTGGCAACTGGGACATACTATCATATGTGGTGGGAGTGCCCACAAGCCCGTGATTTTTGGAATAAGGTTAAAAAAGAGCTGGAAGAAATATTAATGCTAGTGGTAGAATTAAAACCAGAACTCTTTTTACTAGGCATAACCATGCAGAAATATGACAAAGGGGTATTCTATTTGATGTTACACATTCTCACGGCTGCCAGATTGATATATGCTCAAAACTGGAGGAATAAAGGAATTCCAACAGAAGAAGAGATTTTATATAAAATTTTATCGTGTGCTGAAATGGATAGGCTCACAATGGAAATGAAGGATAAGACAGAATCAGACTATTTTGAAATCTGGGACAAATTTTATTACTGATATGAATTAAGGAGAACTGTTCGGGCTTTAAGCTTGCGTTAAGACAGAAATAATTATATTGTATAGAAGAATAAGTTTATATAGAGATTAAGAATGATGTATTAATTATATGTATTAAGAGGAACAAATTGTTAGGAATATTTATTCTGGAATGTCACGTTATGTCCATTTTTGTTTTAACTGTATTATAAATAAAAAACTAAAAAAAAAGAAGTTATCTTTACACTGTCATTATCAACTAGAGGCTGGGGAAGAATTTAGAAGATGGCTTCTATTGACCCTTGGCCTTCTCAAACTGATAATGCTGCTGCATGGGAGTATTTTTATGCAAATCAAATGTAAAAACAATGAGGAATTATCTCTTACATTCCCATGTCAAAAGAAATCAAGCAGAGGCGCTGTCTGGCTTCCTGCAGTTAATTTTTTATATTAGTAGCATCATTCTGGCTCCTGCCATTTGAAATTTTATCCCTCAGTTCTCACCCATGTCCATTTCACCCTATTCCAGGCTGGTCAGCTGGGGAATAGTGGGAGTTTGAAGTTTGCACATCTTCAATTGACCAAGATTGGGAGACACTATTCAGATGATAACATTATTTTAGCATATCCCAAGTTGGCCTTTGCAGACGAGTAGGACCAGTAGTGTCCTCACCCCCCCCCCCCAAGAATAACCTAGAGCAGGGGTAGGCAACCATGGCTCTTTTATGACTCACGGACTTCAACTCCCAGAATTCCTGAACCAGCATGGCTCAGCTTGGAAACCTCTCCCTTTTCCCTCAGCGTGGCTGGCTCAGGAATTCTGGGAGTTGAAGTCCACGAGTCATAAAAGAGCCAAGGTTGCCTACCCTTGACCTAGAGATTAGGTATACTAAAATAAAGCTGCTGGTTTTCATAAAAAATAATTTATTCTTTCTGATATTTGGCAAATAAATGGTAAAGCTATTGAAAAAAAATCAAGTACTATAAATATTTAGGTGTTTATTTCCAACTACTTGCTTTCTGGATAAATTGAGCTCTCATCAAAGTACAAACACTCCAACGAGATGAACAGATTGATGTAAAGAGAAAAGGATATATACTGCTCAAAAAAATAAAGGGAACGCAAACCCCTCCGGTTCCATGTTAAAATGTTCCCTTTATTTTTGTGAGCAGTATATATGTAAGCCTCTTTACTGAAATAAAAAATATATGCCTTGCCAATGGTGAATCCATTAGTATATTTTCTGTGAAAATGTAAGATATTAAACAAAAGCACACACGATGTCTCACAAAGTTTTACTGTTTAATCAAATAAATAGAAATGTTGCAGGTTTACAAAATCACTGTGCTATTCTATATTTACAAAGTACTAATAAAAATATTTTTGTTTCAAACAGTTTGAATAGAGACAGCATACTTCTTTTTGTCTCTGTTGCGAGAATGAAAGTTAATCCATAAACTTCAGAGTCACCCTCAGAGCACATCCAGAAAGTTGAAATAAACCATGGAGAATTTTTTTTTTTCAGTCTTCCTTTAACTCGCCTGGATCTCAGCATGCATTCAGATGTTTTCCCCTTTTTCAGTAAGGTGAACTTGTCCCAAACATATTTGGAACAGATGCACATTACACAGCAGTCCTCAATTTTTACATAGGCTAACAAAATAAAACAATGTGTTATAACAAATTGAATAGAGATGATAAAAATCGAACACACATATTTGGCTGTTATTAATAAAACCTATATACATTTGAGGCATTAAACTTACTTCATCATTCTTATCTTTCATGTTCAAAACATTTATACTACCTTAGCAAAGAACAACACACACAGATGAGTTGCATTCCTCTGTCTTTTTCCTTAACACTATGCAATGACATTTATTTTTTTTTTAAATGCTGGATAGGTAACACTAATCCATTTAAGGAGTGAAGCAGATTTCGAGAAGCGGAGGTGAAGGGAGGATGCTCTTTTGGCAGACATATTTGACACGTATCTTGGGAGACAATGGTAAGCGCCTTTCTGATGTGCTATCAGCAAAGAGATGGCGTTGATTGGGGAGGAACACTTCCTTCAAAGTGCATTTTACATAAAGCTACCGTTGTACAACGTGAGGCCACCTTGCTTCCTTAGCAACCGCTGGTATTAGAATGGCAGGGCTTTCCGCCTGGGTGTTTCAGAAGAAAAGGCACAAAAAGAAAACCACACCCACCTCCCCAGGAAAGATCCGGAGCCGACAGAGGCCGAAATCCACCACGTACAGTACGACTCATAAGTAGAAAGTGAGATATTTTCCCCCCCCCGCAGGAATAAGCTAGAAAGCAACGGGGGAAAAGGAAAGGTAAGCATTTTTATTCGCAAACGGTGCTTTTTTCGGAAGAGCGCCTCGCCGAAGGGCCACGCCGGTTGTGAAAGGCTGAGGAGGCACGAGCCCGGCCGCTCAAAGGGTGCTCAAGTGAGGCAGGCTGTCCATCTTGCCCGCCCGGTCCCGGGCAGCGGCGCTTTCCACGCCGCGGAGCCATTCGGTGCACTTGCGCACTAGCCCTTCGTCCGCCGTGAAGGCTCCGGGATCGCCCGCCGCCTCGTCTTCCTCGTACTCCACGTCGTCGTAGCGGTGGCGCTCGTTCAGCAGCGACACCTGCAGCAAGGCGCGCAAGTCCCCCTCGGGCGACGAGGTGCCCGCCAGAGGACACCTGGAGGCGTCGGGGGAAGCGAAGCGGGCCACCCGCCCGCGCGGCCGCTGCTGCTTCTCCAGGCTCCGCCGCTGCAGGACCCGAATCGCCTCCGGGGGAAGGCTGAGCGAGAAGCGCAGCGAAGCCTCCCCGCGGCCTCCCGGCGCGGCGCAGAGGCTCTCGCAGGAGTGCGTGCCGGCGGCTGGCGGCCCCGAGCGACCCCGGCTGCGAGACAAGGCAGCGCTCAAGGCTGCCGCCGCCGCCGCCGCCGCCCCTCTTTCGGGCGGCGGGGCGTTCCTGCCGCCTTGGGCCGCTCGGCTGCGCGGCAGCTGCTTCTGCAGGGAGGCGCTGGGCCAGGAGCTGGAGAAGCCGGCGGATCGCTCGGAAGGCACGCCGCGCCCTTTCCGAGGAGGCTTGCCTGGAGCGAGAGGGGCCGTCGCCAGCACCGCCATCGGCTTTCGAGGAGCCGCCACCGGCGGCGACGGCTGGTGTTGCTTCCTCGATTGCAGTCGGGGGGCGGCCGAAGGCGGCGGCGCGATAGGAGGCAAGGACATGGCGGGGGAGACTTTTCCTCCTCCTCCTCCTCCTCCTCCTGTGTCCGCGCTCAGCCGGGCATCTCTTCAAAGACTCGCCCACTCAAGCGGAATTCCCAGCCTTCGCCGAAGCAGCCTGGCCGCTCCGCGCGCCGCCGGGGCTCTGATGCTGCCGGTGGAAAGAGACACGCGGCGGGTTGGACTTCGGAGGAGGAGCCGAGCCGAGCCGAGCGAGCGGCGACGGGCAGGCGAGGCTGGAGGGCTTGGATTAGGGCTGGCCGCAGAGCCAATCCGCTTCCTGAAGGCTGAAATGCGCCCCCTATCTGGCAAAGAGAGAAGAGCCGAGGCGGATCAAGCTACCGTAGTAGAAGCTGGGCCCGTTTTTTGAAGCTTCGGTTCCTCGGGCCCCCAAAAGGTAAAGGAGTGATCTACTACTCTGGGAATCTGCCCCAAGTGGATTCTGCCATTTCCGGCTCTGAAAAAAAGTGGGGCTTTTCGATTAGTTGATGCTGCTGGACCTACAACTTTCAATTCAAAACCCCCAAATTTACCAATTTCCTTGAAACACGAATCCCTCGTTGACAATAGCCTATATCAGGGGTAGTCAACCTTGGCTCTTTTATGACTCGTGGACTTCAACTCCCAGAATTCCTGAGCCAGCTAAGCTGGCTCAGGAATTCTGGGAATTGAAGTCCACGAGTCATAAAAGAGCCAAGGTTGACTTACCCCTGGCCTATATTATAACAACCCTATTTGCTTCTAGATTGTGTGCCAATAGCCTAGGTCGCTGCTATAGTGAGTCATGTTTCCCAGACGGAGCGAATTCAAACAATCTTAAGTCACTGAAGCCTAACCGAGGTTAAGCCTTACCACATTTAGCCAATGCAGTCCCTTGATGCTGCCTAGTTAGGTGCGCTATGTAAGCAGACCACAGTGAAGTAGATTTATACGTTCTGAGGTACCAGCGGGACGGCCTTAGAATGGCCTCGTGCTATGTAAATACATATAAGTTCAGCATATGCCACTGTTATTTCCTTAAACTGGTTTTGCATTTATTGTTTTCCTGGTCACCGCTGACAACAAAGGAATTCCAGGCAAACTATGAGGTTTCCTGTAAGAAGTCAAAACCTCTTCCTTATCAGCAAACATAGAAACCAAGGATGCTGTGTAGATGAAGGAAGGATCCCTCAATCGCTAGGCCCTTTCCTAGAAGGCAAATATTGTCAGGCTACAACTTTTTTATCTTCCAAACTAAAGTCTATTTTAAAGAAACAGCCTATGTGGTTAATTTTTTTTCATTGTTAAGTGTCTTCAGGCTCAGGATCGGCTAAAGCTTTAAAGATGTTCTGCCAAGAGAAAAAGGTGTGGAGGTTGGAGGAAGAGAGCAAGTACCAGAGCATGAGAACAAATAGAAGGCTGCAGAGGATGTGCTGGAAATTACCCTGGAGTCCAGTGTTAGTTAGCTTTTACTCATGAGTCAGCTGCCTGCCCCTCTTTTTTACAAGGGACTTTGCCACCCTGGCCTATCACTTACTACTATATATTAGTGCATATAATCCCTCTGAAAGCAGAACAAGGAAATGGGAGTTTTAGCACTCTTGATCTTCATAATATATGGTGGTGGTGGGGAATTAAATTACTAGATGACAAGTTATTCATTCTGTAGCTTAAACCATTGTTTAAACTGCTAAACTGCTGAAACAAGCCTTCAGTTCCATCCAACAAACCATTAGCCACATAATTAAACATAAGACTTGAACATATCGATTTTACTTGAATGTTTCCTCTCCCAAGACCATTACTGGCATTGGAAGATGTGTGTATGGGAGATTAATTCTAAAGTTACGGAAAAGAAAGTGGGCATGCTATAGATAAATTGTGAGCATATAAGTAGATATTACTTACTGTTTAAAATAAGCAAAATGTAAGCATTAACCTATGTTTGAGCCTGACCAAGTAATTTAATGGTAGTTCTAACAGCACTAATATAATCTACAGAACATCTCAACCATAAATACCATTAGACTGCATAATTTTAAATATTTTAATCACTGATTTAATATATTACTTTTAGTTGAATGTGTTTTAAGTATCACAGTATAAAAAGTTGGCGTTTAAAATAAAGGAATAACACAAAGTTCCTGAATTTGGAAAGCACGTTTCTTATATAGTCTCATTTTTCCCCATGCTATCCATTGTTAATCATTTCTGAAGAGGCCCAGTAGCTATAACATAGTGTAATTCTTCATTTTACAATTTGCAGTTTAATAGGACTTTGGAAAATAAAACAAATAATAGAGGAATTGGAAAGATAAATATAAAAAATAAGGAACATGTATTTACATGCATTTTACCTGAAACTCAACGATCATATAATTTTAAGATTAAATCATGTTAGCAGACTTTCACCCAACAATTTTAAGACCATTGAGTGAGTAAAAAAAATATTTTTAGAACAAGCATGGATTGAGGGGTCTTGTGATGGTATAAATGCCCTGGTTTTGTACTTTTTTTTTTTTTAAGGTTCTTCTGCTAATACAATTTAATCGCCGTTGTGAAGAAGGCTGTCACTGTTTCAGGACCTGAACCATTTGGAGTAATCCTAGGAGAAATGATGTAGGTTTCCAAGCACTGGAAAAAGTTCTGCTTCTCTTTAACTTAGACAAGAAGTGAAGCATTTCAATATAGCATCCCTTTAAAAGAAAAAGAAAAATCACTATGTGCAAGCTTGTAGATATGATGCATTGATTTTTAAGGCTTTACCAAGTGGTATACAAATTAACTTCTAATTTAAAAAGCCTTCCCTTTCCCCATTCTTGATGCATGCAAAATGATACCGTTTCAGACAACCATTGTGCAATTATATAACCAAGCATTCATTTTTTAAAAAATCAACATTTTACAGCCATTGTAATGACGATTTTAATTTGCATTTGATTTCAAGTACATTAATTTTGTTCAAGCAATTTAACAAAATAAAATCAACTGAGGTCTGAAGCTTGGCAAGCCTCATACTGAAGACCAACGTGCTAGATACAGGTAGTCCTCGACTTACGACCACAACTGAGCTGAAAATTTCTGTTGCTAAGCAAGACATTCGTTAAGTGAGTTTTGCTCCATCTTACAATCTTTCTTCCCACAGTTGTTAAGTGAATCACCAGAGTCTTTAATAACCCAGTTTTTAAGCGAATCTGGCTTCCCTTTGACTTTGTTTATCAGAAGGTCACAAAAAGGGATCACATGACCCCGGAACACTGCAACTGTCATAAATATGAACCAGTTACCAAGCATTCAAATTCTGATTACATGACCATGGGGGTGCTGCAACGGTCATTAGTGTGAAAAACAGCCCTAAATCACTTTTTTCAAATCACTGTTGTAACTTGTAGTAAGTTGAGGACTACCTGTACCTGCCATTCAGAATACACCTGATTACCTCCAACATAATAAGATAACTGCACAAATTTACCTTGCATATGGGATGTATGACAGACTGTACCTAAGAGAGGAAGAAGAGACATTATATTTTAGCATCCTTTTGCAGCCGTCCACAGAGAAATCAGTCTACTACTGTAATAATTTCATATAATCAGCTACTCAGATTATACTTCAGAATAAAACAATAGATATGCCACTACAAGATTCCAAATTCTACCTTCCATTTCAGATTTTGCTCTAAACGTGTAGAAACTCAAAATAGTAAACAAATGTGATTGGTGCTATTGACTGATAAACGTCCTAGAAGGAAGGTTCAGTAAATACAGATTTTACTCTTCCCCCATCAATTAATTCAAAATTCAGTGTGCATATAAACAAGAAACTGAAGTTGCCCATCTGGGCCAGGGGACAGATCTTGTAAGTGATGGCATCCCTCAATAGGAACGTTTTCTCTTGAGGGTATGGAGAGCCCCTAGTCTACGAGCATTCAAAAAACAAGGCAAAGCAGCACTACTCCAGAGAGCATTTGGCCCTTCAGTTAAATGAAAAGTGACTGTGATGCATTAAGGTGGGGTTGTTGTTGTTTTTGTATTGATTTTTATTTTCTCCAAATGTTTCTAATGCATTATTTTGTGATTTCTTACAACCTGACCAATCCCATTTGGATTGGGATGGGGCTAGAAATATTGTAAAATGAATAATAATAAATACTGTTAATAAATAAATAAAGGATTGATCTATGGTCAATATCTGAAATGCCAAGTCTTTAAATTATGATCATGATTGGTTCATAATATGCTATCACATTTGTTTTGGCGGGTTTAATAAATATATCCTTTCCCAAAAGAAATACGAGCTATAGAGTTCTATGCACCAGCTAGAAATGGTAAGACACCCTGCTAAGCATGACATGTTCCAGAACATCCAACAACCCCTATGAAACTATGTACTGAAGAAACACATCAGTAAAGGAAAGAGTATCCTTTAATCATCTTCTTGTTAGTGAATTTCTGTTTATTTATTTGTTAAATTTATTTGCTGCCTATCCGGCCATAGGGCTACTCTGGGTGGCTTACAATATTACAGTGGAAAAAATGATTAAAAAATGTAAACCCAATAATTGCAAAACAATGAAACAATAAAAATAAGAGCTTTAGTGGCACAGTGATTAGAGTGCAATATTGCAGGCTAACTCACTGCTCACTGTCGAGTTCAATTCTGACCGACTTAAGGTTGACTCGGCCTTCCATCCATTTGAGGTTGGTAAAATGAGGACCCAGATTGTTGGGGGCAATAGGCTGGCTTGGTAAAGCGCTTAGATAGGGCTGAACTATGAAGCGGTATATGTCTAAGTGTTATTGCTAGTGCTAAAAATAAATAATGAAAGTATAACAATATGAATTAAAAGATGGGGGGGAGAGAGAAGGAAGCATGGGGGAGAAGTGGGGTCAGCTAATTAGTCCGGTAGCTACCTCCAGACTTTCTGGAGACTAATAAGATAAGATAAGATAACCTTTATTGTCATTTTTTTTACTGTGGGCACAATGGCACACCTCAAAAATGAAATTTAGTTGCCTACTCTCAAAGTGAAACACATACGTAACACACACCTAAACATACTATGAACAACATATGTATAGACCCCCATCCCTACATATACGTAGCAAATAAATATTAAATACTGTCCATCTTGAATATATAACGGAAGGAGGAAGCTTGAGAGTTCACAAGGTTAATGCTGTATGGAATAAAACTATGGCTGAATCCCAGAGTTCCCCAAAACAATTTGAAAAGCATTTAGTTCTAATAAGAATCCACAATGTTTCAAGTCACAATCACAAATCAAGTGACTACACTATTGGATTTGCATTGTTTGTAACAATAAAAGATTTGCATGACTAATAAACAATAAGAATTCAAAGAAAGCCTTACCAGGTCATTGCCAGAAACTGCAAAATGCAGAACAGCAGAGCTAACCCTTTCTTTTGCCACTAAGAAAGAGGAAAAGAACATGTGTTGAATTTGATAGTACTTTAAGAACAAAATGTGTTAACGTGGATCTTCTATTTCTGACTGAAAATTAAGCAAAGCAAGTGGCCACATAATTTCACTTTTCTATTAGAGGGAATAAGCAACAATATTAAGGTCACTCATGCATGCAAGACTTAAATGACAAAGTATCATTCAATCTACGCCTATTTAACAGAACAAAAAACTGGGCAGAATTTACATTTGTCTAATATCGTAAGCTAGACAAGGTAAATCTTAAATAAGACACTAACTACAGCATCCAAAGCAAGTAAATTCATGCTGAAATGCACAAAATGTTTGATGAATACTACTTACCCAAAATGCAGCAAATAATGTGAGGATCAAAGAAAGCTGCTCAAGACAAAACAGAAACCAGATCAGTGTGTATATACGTAGGACAGGGTTTGTACTACTGGTAGTCCTCGAGTTATGATTGCAGTTGGGATCAGAATTTCTGTTGCTAACTGATACAGTCATAAATGGTTAACATCCCACGACTGCATTGCTTAGCAATGGCAATCCCTGCAGTTTCCACTGCCCTTGTTAAGTGAGGATAGTGGGGCATTAAGTGAGCACCTCTTTGCAACTTCCTGCTGGCTTCCAACAAAGTCAGTGGGGAAGCTGGCAGGCATTTCCAAATCCCAGGCAGGTTGCAAGGAAGCCAGCAGGCAGGCAAGTGGCTTTGCTTGTGGGAAGCTGCCAGGGAAGGTCACAAATCATGATCATGTGACCGCAGGATGCTGCAACCATCATAAGTGCAAGCCAGTTGCCATCACATAACCACAGGTGTGCTAGAATGGCCAGAACTTCAAGGACCAATCATAACTATTGCTCATTCAACGCCATTGTAACCTTGAACATTTGCTGCGCCAGTGGTTGTTAACCACGTATTCCTGTATTGTCCTAGAACCTACAAAAGATTCACTGCAATTCTCAGAAACTTTTGCTGATCAGTAACTCTGTCTCATAATCCAGAGAAATTTCATGAAAGGACAAATATACCTCGTCCACAAAAGAATATCGCTTAACAAATCAAATAAGTCCAGTTATTCTGCTAATAAAAGCTAAAATAATAGAAGTGATAAACGCTTTCTAATTGTCAATATGCAACCAGAAGCATTGAGGGAGAGGGGACGAGAGGGCAAGTGACAAAACATGCAGTGCAGTCCACTGCTTAAGTATTTGAGTGCAACATTTTTTTATAATTTTGGTGTCATTGTATTTATGAATGGACGTCAATGTCTGGAACTTTATGTTTCTTTTCTGGATTTAAAACAAGCTAACTTACCAGCATAACAATTGTCACAATTAACCTTGTTGGTTCAAACATCTTTTTCAGCTGTTTCACTGGACCCATCAAGAAGCAAGTACTAGTTTGGAAAAAAAAAATCAGAATTTTTTTTTTAATCTTCTCAGTCATAGCTGTTAGGGTCACCCAGTCCCTTTTTGCCCATATATGGTTATAATAATACATAGAATTCAATGTTTTTCCTTCATTCCACTCTATACAGCCTGTGTAGCTCTGGATAAAAATGATACAGAGAAAATTTTGAGTGTGTACTCAGGAGATGAGGAGGGGGAACTGTTCCCTACCATTATATGAGTTGAAATTGCATTCATTGGTTAAAACCTACAGCTGCGTCCTGTCTGCCGTTTTTTTTTTACATCTGGTAATTGTACAGAATAAATTTCAAAAGAGCTCAGTTGTATATACAGAGAATTATTTGCACTTTGCAAGTAATGTGGAAACACATAAATCTCATTAAAATAAAAAGAGAAGACTACAAAAAGACCATACCTGGCTAAAGCAGCAATATTTCCCAAGGTATAGAACACTGCAAAGAGTTTTATTCCATTTGGAAGCCAGAGCAATCCTGTCCCCTGCACATATACAATTTAAAAAGCCAACTGTGAGGAGGTCTATAGTTTTATCAAACCAAAAATCAAAGAGATATTATTAGAGCATTACACTTTTCTAACAACTGAACATTTCGGGGTCACCAGGAGCTGTTAAGTCTTACTGGGCAACAAATTAAACCAAACTTTATTGAAAAGAACTAAGAAAAATGTATGTGTTAAGTCCAATTTACAAAATACAGGCAATTTTCGACCACGACCACAATTGAGCACAAAATGTCCATCGATAAGCAAGGCAACGATTGAGTTTTGCCCAATTTTGCGGCCTTTCTTGTCACAGTTGTTAATTACTGCAGTTGTTAAATTAGTAACACAGCTAAGTGAATCAAGCTTCCCCATTGACTTTGCTTGTCAGGCGGTAGCAAAAGATGATCACATGACCCTGGGACACGGCAACCGCCATAAACACATGCCAGTTGCCAAGTGACTGAATTCTGATCACATAGCCATGGGCATCCTACAATGGTTGTGGGAAATGGTCATAAATTACTTTTTTCAGTGCTGTTGTAAATTCAAATGGTCACTAAATGAATGATTTTAAGTCAGAACTACCTGTACATGCAAATTGTTCTCACTGTAATTCATGATCTTGGAAGAGAGATGGCTTTCAATAGATCTGAAATTTCGAAGAATGCCCTTATGTATAGAAACAGGAATATTGTAGAGAACAAGGTTTCTAACATATCCAAAATCAATTAAATCTTAATGTCTAACTGAAGTTGATTCCTATGTCTTAAAGATAACCTGAATCCTGAAGCAAAGTCCTCTACTCCTTTGTCCCTGGACCTCTGTCAACCTCTGGGGATAATTCCAGCCATTAATCAGAGCTGTTAGCTTAAAGTACACCCAAACTCAAGCACTGTTATCTTCTTCTCTGCTTCCCCAGAGTTTGCTTTAGTTGTAAAAAACCCAAAGCTTTTTCCAGCTGCAGGAAGAGCAGGAACATTGGCCTTTGGTTAATGGCACAGAAGTCAGCCTCCCCCAATGTTGCATCTGATTGAGATGAAGGAATATGTAGCCAAACGTACAAACTCTTTGGCCTTTAGAATGGATGACCAACATTGCATAAACCCAAACTGAAGCAAGAATAAATACAAAACGAAGAACAGTCACTGCACGGTAGATTAAAATGAAGAAAGCAGCACCACAGTTCTGAAACAATCTGTTATCCAGTATTATATGAAATACTAATAGGAAGTGATCAAAGCAGTTTCTGTATGTACCATGTTTTCCCGAAAATAAGACCTACCCCCAAAATAAGCCCTAGCTTGATTTTTACACATGCGCCCAATATAAGCCCTATCCCCAAAATAAGCTCTACTTAAGACCCCGCCCACTCCACTACACCTGGTTGCACGAGGTGGAGCGAGGCACACGGATAAAAATCAACAGGACGGGAATGGAGGGATGGAGCTGCCCCATGCACCCCACACCCACTTATCTTAAGACAGTTGCAGCCAGGCCTCCCACACCCCGATACCTGTCTCGCTGGCTTACTTCTGCGGCTGCTCGCCGTTGCTTATGCGCATTGGCCCCAGCCTCCATTTTGCCGTGAGAGGCCTTCCAGAAAAACCTCTGCAGCTGAGAAACGAGCTTCGGATTGATGTGCATGGTGCCTCTGATGGCAGAACGGAAGCCGAGGGGGGGGGCACTGCACACGTCAATCCAGAGCTCGTTTCTCAGCTGCAGAGGCCTTTCTGGAAGGCTTCTGACAGTGAAACGGAAGGCAGGGGGAACCGGACGTGCCAATCTGGAATTCTTTTCTCGGCTGCAGAGGCCTTTCCGGAAGGCCTCTGATGGCAAAATAAAAGCTGGCGGACACCGCACACATCAATCCAGAGCCCATTTCTTGGCTGCAAAGGCCTTTCTGGAAGGCCTCTGATGGCGAAACGGAAGCTGGAGGGCATCGCGTGTGTCAATCTGGAGCTCGTTTCGTGGCTGCAGAGGCCTTTCCGGAGGCCAGGGATGACATGTACAAGTGGTGGCAAGCAGCCGCAGAAGTAGTGGGCCGGCGAGGCATACGTATCGGGGCATGGGAGGCCTGGCTGCGGCAGTCCTAAGGTAAGTGGGTAAGACATCACCTGAAAATAAGAGCTGGTGCCTCTTTTGGAGGCAAAATAAATATAAGGCCGGGTCTTATTTTTGGGGAAACACGGTAGATATGGCTTGACTGATGAAATCCCGGTATCAACTAGCATTTTTTCTGACAGCCTTGAAAGCTTTCTCTTGATGACTTACAAAGATGGCACTAGTGAACAGTTAGGTTTGCTGCAGATAATTTTTTTTAGGAATTATTTGAGCTACAGTATATATACTAAAATTATATATATATAAAAGGAAAAAAATATTGTCTCTGTAACTCTTGCATCTGCTTTCCCTAACCCAGTGCTCTTCAAACATAACTGGGCTATAATCTCTGACACCCCCAAGTCACCATAAATAGCAGTATGGAAGATTGAATTTGTGAACCAATACATGTAGAGACCTGGAAGGCTGCCCTATAAGGTTACACATCTACTCTTCTGACTGCTTTTTGCTTAAATGACATCCTGTATGTAGAAAATCTGCATCCCAGGAGAAGCTAGTATTTCGATATGGTAAAGTATTAGAGGCTGCACTATGTACTTTTTCCTAAGGTATTGACTAATCATTCTATACCAACTCCATATATCAATACAACATTAGCCCAAGAACAGAGATGAATATTAAAACATATAAAGAGAATTTTTTTTCTGTGTTTCATGAAATATTTACTTACAAGGAGAGAACACAAAACGCCGCATACAAAACATATTGCAAACCATTTCACTCGAGTACTAAAACTCAGGGATGATGCATCAAGGACCTATGGGTGAAGAAATAAATAAATCAGATTTTAATAGTAGGACAGAAATCTTTACTAATAAAACATCTTTAACAATGCAAACCTCAAAATGCTCAAATAAATAACAGGTACTTGCTCTTAAAGCCACAAGTATTCTTCCATTTCACAAATTGATTTAAAAAATATACAATTTATATGTAAATATTTATTAATTTTTCCAAAGACAAGCTTGCATGCTCACTTTAAATTAAATACTTAAAAAATTAAATGTAGACTTGCATCACAGAATGAATCCTGGCAGACTAACACCTTAATTATGTAAAATAAATGAAGTAATCAAAACAACCAATAGAGATAATATATTTCTATTTTATTTACTACAGTATGATAAACAAAATACAGACTAGCAGAATTAGAACGTTACTTATTGGTGATAAAAGTGCTTTTTTCACATTTCTGTTTCTAAAAGTGATTCATTAGAAACATTAGGAATAAAATGGATGACAACATAATATTTAGGCAGGTACCACTTTCAAACATGTAACTTGTTTTTCAAATAATATGTCTTTTAAAATACTAAAAATGCGAATCCTGGGCATTATGTTAACAAATAAAAGAAAAAATGAACACCAGGATATAATAAACTAGCCTGTTTAATGTAAACAAGCCTGTGGTTAAAAAGAGTCACTAAGCTTTCGTCCGGCCAAAAACTGCCGGCGTCATCAGAGTTAGAATAGAAGGAGATCGGGAAGGCAGCTCATATAGCCTCCTGCTCATATAGCCTCCTGCTATCTAACTCTGAGTCCTGAGTCCTACGGGAGAAGGGCGGGGTATAAATTTAATAAAATAAATAAATAAATAAAAATAAACTCTGATGACGCCGGCAGTTTTTGGCCGGACGAAAGCTTAGTGACTCTTTTTAACCACAGGCTTGTTTATATTAAACAGGCTGGTTTATTATATCCTGGTGTTTGTTTTTTCTTTTATTTGTTAATATGTATGTATGTATGTATGTATGTATGTATGTATGTATGTATGTATATATGTGTCTTTTAAAATACTAAAATACATATTATTTGTTAATATGTATATATGATGTATATATGTATATATCCAAATTTCTTTTTCTGACAAAGAGTAAAGAATTAAATCGGGAGACTAAGATGGCCATTTCTAGCTTGTTCTGCTTTCATCAGTTAGCCATACCCTTTATGGGATTCGAACCTGGGCAGTTTTACATACTAGGCAGTGATTTAACCACCAAGCCACAGGCTCTCCTCCCCTCTTTGCCAGCTGAGTCAAGGGAGTATATACAGGAAGTTTCTCAGACAGACCGGTTTGTCTGAGAAACTTCCTATATGTATATATGTATATATCCCAATCAAGTTATTCACTGTATACATAAAATACTAATCAGAACAAAAATCTAATTCCATTATTAAATTATAAGTGCAAACGGTCAAAAACTTTTTTACCTCACTTTTATTGAATATATGGGAATATCATTAGTTGAGTGAATACATTGTACTGTTATTATCATTTAGAGACTACAAAATCTCTATTTTTTATTACAAAGTAATAAAAAGTAATTAAATTAATCAAACAATAACCAAATTAATATTGAATCAAGGCCCAAATGCCTTTCAGTCAAGTTCTGCTTAGAGCAACCTCTGGAAAGCAGTCAGAGCTGGAGCCAACTAAATGTCCACTGAGAGGTGTTCCAAAGGACTTGTGCAACCACTGAAAAGCAACACCGCTTTGCCTTGGTCCCCTCACTGGTCATCATTAATAGTTTCTCCCGAGTAGGTCAAACCAGTCGAGTCATTACCAATGGGAGAATGCAGTCCTGCAATTAGAGGTGCAAAGCCATTCACTGCACCCAGAAGCTAGTTGGAAATCAGTGCAGGGCCCAAATATTGATTGAATATCATCCTTGGGCTCCTATATTCTCACTCAACTGCAACTTCTGAATGATCTTCAGAGCATGCAGTAGTCCTAGTGAGTGGTAATGAAGGCATAAGTTGCTTTAACAAGATCCTTCCACTTGATAGGTTCAACAACTGGTATAGTAGCTTAAGCTGGAAACCCACTCCATCCCTAGCCATGGCCCCCACCTGCTGTTTCACAGGAGCTGTGAGTTCAGAGGAACCTTCAAGTTGAAGACCTACTCCTTCCAGATAATGCCATGACAATCAAGAAACGTCACTGGAGCAGACAGAGAATCCTGATGGGCCAATAACAACTTCACCTTAATAAAATTTATTGACACCCACTCTCTCCCATTCAGAACTTCACAACCTCCAGGCATCGGAGGGGATTCAAAAGCACCATTAGTCTAGCCTGAGGTAGCAATGTAAAACTGAGTATCAAACCTCTGGACAACCTCCCATTGGCTTCATGTAAATGTAAAAGAACCATCTTTTGTATGCCAAAAGATGTAGCAATTAAACTGATCTCTCCTGCTCTCCTCATGCCCAAATAGAACCATTCTCCAAGGCAGGGGTTGCCAACCTTTCTGGGTCGGAGGCCTGATGAGAAAGGGAGGGACAGGCACCTTTACGTGCGCATGCGCACACATGCAAATGTGGCTGCGTGTGCACGAACAGGGCCGTGAGTATGCACGCTCCGCAAATGGGGCTGCTTGCCTAGCGCCAGCAAGAGGCTCACTGCTTGCCTAGTGCCGGTGTGAGACTCACAGCTCAGCTAGCGTCGGCGCAAGCATAGGGTGAGCATGCACACATGGCCAGCGTGCACTGGCCAGCCACTCACATGGCCCGATGGCCAAGAGGCCACGGCCCGGTAGTAGAGCCGCAGCCCATAGGTTGGGGACCTCTGCTCTAAAGAAGGAGCATAACTTGTAATACAATTAACCCAATCCCTAAAAGCAGTTCAGAAGGAAATAATGATCTATAGTAATGAAGGCAATAGAGAGAATTAAAAGGATCAAACTGACACACTTCCACTAGCAGATCCTAACAAAGATTATTTATGCAATCAATGCCAATTTTTTTCAAGAGTCCAGAATTTTCCATAAGCAAGTTTTAAAAATTACAAGGCAGTACAGATTTGTGTTCATTTCCATTTATTTGTTTGGGTCTTAATAAATAGTTATATGTGCACATAGAAAGAATCCTATTACAATTTAACTATCACACAAAGAAAACAATTAAACAATTAAAATCAAGAACCAATTAGGTGGGTGCAATTAATATACCGTAACCTTCACAGTGATTTGCAAGGTGGCAATTCCTAAAGCCAGATCTTAATGTTCAAGAAGACAGTCCACACAAGCACACATATACATACAATTTTCAAAATTGTCACAGTAACTAAAGGTAAATGATTAGAAATGATTCCCCTTATTCACAGTAATGAATGGGAAAGTTTCAAACCGTAATAGTATAAAGCTTACCTTTTCCAGTCCAAATCTTTATCCTTATATAGGCAGCACAGAGAAAAGAATATTAAAAATTTAACAAGCGTATATGTAGGAAAGCTATTCTTCCCTGAATAAGATCTACACATTCCTAAATATTTAAAGGTATTTAGATATTTAATTTCTAAATAAATTTAAATAAAATAAATAAATCTAAAGAAATTTGTTCACCTTAAATGCATCAAACAATGAAAAATCAGGAGAGCCTGAACTGAGGAAAGAAATCATATTTACTTAATTGCAGGAGGGAACTTAATTGCTACAACATGGTTTGGAGTACTTTGGGATCCAATACTAAAAATGGTCAGCTTCTGGACTCACATGACATCCTGAAGTTCAAGAATGTCCTAGTTAAACATATTGTGCAGACGAAACTAACAAAAAACACTATGTGGTTGCTGTGAAAAAAAGATACACCCATGCTGGGATAATTAAGAAAGAATTGAAAACAAAACTTCTATTATCAAAGTGTGTCTGTATAAATTTTTCTTGCAATCACACATTTGGAATATTATGCTGTATGAAAGTTCTGGTCATAGCAACTCTAGAGTAACATTGCAGAATGTTAAAAAGAGACAGAAAAGAGGAAAGCAGTGATGGAAGTAGAACAGCTCCACGAAGAAAAATTAAAACTGAACCAGCTTAAAAAAATAAAAGAGAGGCATGACAGAAATGTATAAAATATTTATGATATGAAGAACTCCCCCCCCCACTTCACAGTATTGGCCCTCAGGGTCTTCCAGTACAATTAAATGATGGCAATTAGGAAAGATAAATGGAAGTACTTTGCATTGCACTTAAAACTAAAGGTCTCAGGGTCATGAGATATACTGATAACACCTATGGAGGGCAAGACTTTTAACTGATATAAAATATCTATCAATATGAATTACTGAGGAATGTGAATATCAAGTTACTATTGCCCTCATGTCCTATTTGTGGGCTTTGGGTTTTTGAAGATGATGGTTCCAAATGAATTATTTTTTATGTTTACATTATGCTTTTTTCCCATGATACTTAATTCTCCCATCAATGCATGTAAAGGGCTTAACAGTCTGGATCTCTCTGGTGGCATTTTTGAATATTTGAGTAATTTAATTCAATCAGCCCTGTTTAATTCTAGAGGGCTCTAGGGGGAAGAGGCAGCTCATATTAAAGTTACTAATTCTTGGTAAACACCATGGCATCATCTATATTACTTATACCAGTGATGGCGAACCTTTTAGAGACCAAGTGCCCAAACTGCAACCCAAAACTTACTTATGCATCGTCGAGTGCCGGGTGGGTGTGGCCCATTGGGTGGGCGTGGTTGCGGTGGTAACGGCAGACTGGGTGGGACTAAAAAGTTCAATCAATCAATTCCAACTTTGCACGAGAAGTTGAAATTGACTGAACCTTTTTTCTTTTTTGCACACGGTGGCGGAGGCCTAAAGCGAAAAGGTTTTATAAAACCCAGCTGAATGCCTAGGACTGGGGCGACGGCGCGTGTGTCCACAGAGAGGGCTCTGAGTGCCGCCTCTGGCACCTGTGCCATAGGTTTGCCACCACTGCTCTAGGGGGAAGAGGCAGCTCATATTAAAGTTAC